ATCATGCAAACTGCTGGGCTGAATGAAGCACAAGCTGGAATCAAGATTTCCCGGAGAAATATCAATAACCTCAGATATGCAGATAACACCACCCTTATGGCAGAAAGCAGAGAGAAACTAAAGAGCCTCTTGATGAAAGTGACAGAGGAGAGTGAAAAAGCTGGCTTAAAACTCAACATTCAAAAAATGAAGATGATAGCATCCAGTCCCATCCCTTCATGGCTAATAGATGGGGAAACAATGACAGACTTTGTTTTTTGGTTCCAAAATCACTGCAGATGGTGACTGCAGCCATGAAATTAAAAGACACTTGCTCTTTGGAAGAAAAGCTATGACCAACGTAGACATCATATTGAAAAGCAGAAACATTACTTTGCTAACAAAGGTCCATCTAGTCAAAGCAATGGCTTTTCCAGTAGTCACATATGGATGTGAGAGTTGGACCATAAAGAAAGCTGAGTGCCAAAGAATTGATGCTTTTGAACTATGGTGTTGGAGAAGACTCTTGAGAGTCCCCGGGACTGCAAGGAGATCAAACCAGTCAGTCCTAAAGGAAATCAGTCCTGAATATTCACTGAAAGGACTGATACTGAAGCTGAAACTCCAAAACTTTGGTCACCTGATGCGAAGAACTGACTCCTTGGTAAAGACCCTGATGCTGGGAACAATTGAAGGCAGGAAGAGAAGGAGGCGACAGAGGATGAGATGATTGGAGGGCATCACCGACTCAATGGACATGAGTTTGAGTAAACTCTGGGAGTTGGTGATGGACAGGGAAGCCTGGTGTGCTGCAGTCCATGAGGTCACAAAGACATGACTGAGTGACTGAACTGAACTGAACTGAGCATGTACTCTTGTATATGTCTTGCATCCAAACTCATGTCTTAGTAGGGTTTCACTTCTGATGACAAAGATGATAAAAATGATGTTGATGAGATTCAGTGTTATGGAGTATGGAGGTTCCTCAAAAAAATTAAGAGATAGAACTACTGTATGATCCAGCAATCCCACTTCTGGGTCTGTACCCACAGGAAATGAAAACAGGATTTTGAAGAGGTATCTGTACCCCTATGTTCACTGCAGCATTTCTCACAACTGCCAAGATACAGAAACAAACTAAGTGTCCATCAGTAATACGTATACACAATGAAATATTATTCAGCCATTAGGAAGAAGAAAATCCTGCCATTTATGACTACACAGACAGAACTTACAGGCATTATGCTAAGTGAGAAGACAAATAGAGAAAGACAAACACTGCATGGTATCTACTTACATGTGGAATCTAAAAAGAAAGTCAAACTCATAGAAACAGAATAGAAAGTGTTACCAGGGGCTGGGGAGTGGGGGAGATAGGGAGAGGTTGGTAAAAGGGTACAGACTTTAAGCTGTGTGATGAGTAAGTTCTGAGAGTCAAACGGTGACGGTAAAATAAAAAATAAAAAAATAAAACCAAGGTTGATGAAGCTGATAAAGGATAAAAAGAAACAATAATGGCCAAATCTGCCCTGAATCATTCAAGGAGAGTCAAAAATCTCTTGGTGATTATGTATATTGTAGACTGAAGCAAGCAGTTCAGTGTACTTGAGCATTAACTAGAGTCTATGAAGCCTGAATGTTCTGAACTTATCTAGAAGAGTCTTGAAGTCTGCAGTAGCATTTAGTATGGCCAACTGTGATTTTCTTTTTTTGGGCTGCACTGTATGTGGATCTCAGTTCCCCTACCAGGGATCCAACAAGCGCTCTCTGCAGTGGAAGCACAGAGTCCTAACCACTGGACCACCAGGGAAGCCCCATTATAGCCAATTGTTAAGACCAAGGTTCCAGAACTAGTTTTTGATCTTGTACAAGATACACAATCGCTCTTGGACTCAGTCTCCTTGTCTGTCAAATGGGAATGATAATCATTACATCGATCTCATGGAATTGTTGTGAGGATTAAAAGAGAAAATGTATTTAAAACTCCCGGAATATAATGTCCATTATTTACTAACTAAAAACACTCTTTATCATTGTTTGGTAATTCTATGAGATTTTTGTTTTGTTTCTATGACTAAACAGGCCTTTAGGATAAGTAAGCTGAAATATATATATATTAATTCCACAAATGGTAAATAAAAAAGATATCTTAAAGGTTAATAAGTTCAAAACCAGACTATGTGGCTTTTGTATGGATCTCAAGCAAGATTCAAGGATGTCCATTTTAATAAAAGAACCCTGAAACTGTTAGTTGCTCAGTCCTGTCCAATTCTTTGTGACCCCACGGACTGTAATCCACCAGGCTCTTCTGTCCACGGGATTCTCCAGGCAAGAGTACTGGAGTGAGTTGCTATGACCTTCTCCAGGGGATCTTCCTGATTCAGGGACTGAACTCGAGTCTCCCACATTGCAGGCAGATTCTTTACCATTTGAGTCACAGGCGAAGCCTCCTGGGTGTGGGAAAAATGAGTCAAATGCCTAGGTAGACTCTGTCCGTAACCTGTTTTCATTCTATTGGTATCACTTTATGATGCTTCCAATTATTCACTTACCAAAAATTTACTGAATGCCAGCCACCATCCAGGCTGTCCACTAGGACTCAGGGACCCAAGGGGTGAAGAAGATATTGTCCACACCCTCAAGGAAAAAGTAGGCTGGACGGGGAGGCATCCATTCAGTAGAAAGGTGAAATGTCACATCATAGGGTCATGATAAAGATAGCCACTTTATCTTTAGCCTGGTGGTCCAGTGGCTAAGACTACACACTCCCAGTGCCAGGGGCCTGGCTTCAATCCCCGGTTAGGGAACTAGATCCCACAAGTTGCATCTAATAGTTACAGGCCACAGCTAAGACCCAGTGCAGCCAAAAAGAGAAATATATATTTTTAAAGGTGAAATGCCACATCATAGGGGCTTGATAAAGACAGTCACAGGCATTCAGCATACAGTGGAGCATACCGTGGCATGTTAAGTGGTAAGTAAAAGTCATCAATAAGAGGAAATGCCCTCGTGTCTCACAACCTAGAGGAAACAGGCATCAAAACAAATCATCAAAAGGGTTAAGTGAACACTTACAAAGTGTGAAGTGCTGCCGATGATGCATTCAAGGCTATGGACCCTGTCACACGGACCCGGAAAGGTTTTCCTGGGAAAGAGATGAGTAAGCTGAGACACAAGGTGCTAGAAGGATGAGGGCAGAGAGAGGTTAGAAGAGCTTCCAGGAGGAGAAGCAGTACATGGAAAGTTCTGGAAGGGGGAGAGGAAGGGGCTGGAGAAGAAGGAATGGCTCAGATCACAGAGGACCTTGTAAGCCCCATGTAGTCTTCTACAAGGGGGCTGCTCCATGAACAACCGTGGAAGGTTTTAAAGCAAGAAATTGATGTAGTCCATTTTTTTTTCCTCTGATGTAAACATCTAATTGTATTTTGAAATTGTGTATCAGTAAAAATAATAAAGAATAGAATTTTAAAAGCATGTTCAGTATGACCCTATTTTAAATTTTTTTAAAATGTTTAGTTTTTATTAAGTTATTTCATATTATCTATCAATTATCTTTCCATATATCTATATACTCATAGACAATTGCCTGAATATTTATGACGTAGTTAATTTTGAAGTGCATGTGTGTCTGTGTGTGCAGAGAGAGGGAACAATATAACTCACATAAAATAATCAGAGATCCTAAGTGAGTTGCCCACAAGGTCAAGGAAGGTGGAGTCACATGGCCGAAGGGGATGATGGCTCTGTGTGGTTGGGACCTTTGGGAGCTCTTATGTCTGGCCAGGACCCCCTCTCACCCACCAAAGAGCCAAGGAGACCGGGAAGATACCAGTGGGGGTGGCCCCAAGACCCGACGGCTCAAACACCAACTCCCCACAGCATCCCAGATTTTCCCCAGGCAGCTCCTGGGCACGGAGTCAGGGCTTACAGGCAGGGAGGCAGGGGGGAGCGGGGAGCAGGACCCGACCTGCGGGGCACCAGCTGGGCTTCCAGGAGAGAGCAAGGCAAGGCTAACCAGGAAAGAGACTGTATCCCCACGGATCTCCACATGTGGGGTGTTTGGGCACTGCACAGGGACTCCCCTACAGAGCTGTTTTCTGTACCCGAGACAAAACTGGGTTGCACTAAACCAGAAGTCACAATTCCACTGGCCAGTGCAGAAGTGGGTAGAAACCGGATCCTGGCGGGACGAGGAGTCGGTGAGGATGGTGTATGGAAGTCAACTTCTCCGTGGAGAAAAACCCCGACTGTGGAAGGAAGGAGTAAAGAAGGGCTTGGGTTAGAAAGATGTGGCACCGGAGGGGCCATATGTATGTGTATAGGAAAGCCTGAGAAGTCTCACTGCCTGAAGGAGAGCAACTTTCAAGGAGCAGGGCTAGAAATAAGATAGGGCTCCAGGTCGCTGAGCAGGTGTGGGGGGCTGAGACCCAGAGCCCGCCGGAGAAGAGGGACCAGATGAGGGGAGCTGGGAGAGCCACATCCACGTGGGTCTTCATGACCTCACAAAGCAGGCATCCTCAGCCCAGCGTTCCTGAAGCTCCAAGGCAGTCCTGGCTAGGTCTCCTAGCAACTGGATGCAAGGGCCATGGCACTCCTAACACCCCAGGGAGTGAAAAAAGTCTTCCAATTTCAGGTGAAGAGAACCCATGACCTTTAAAAGAAAGTGTGCTCCAGTTGGTCTAAGAGGGAGGTTTGTCCTCCCAGGGACGCCTGGACAGCTCTCCGGTCCCCGTCAGCTCAGAGGCCCGGGACAGGCGGGCGTGTGCCCAGGGAACGCCAGGCCAGAGTTGGTCCAGTCTTTGGAGCGGGGGGCTACCTTCCAGGCCTGCGGTGACAGCCCCTGATGTAGCAGAGGCCACGGGGAAGGACAGAGGAGGCGGGCGTGGAGGTGCTGTGCCCGCCTGCACTCCAGGGAGGGCCTGGGAGGCCCCTGTGGGCGGTCACAGGGGTGCCACCTTCACCAGAGCCCTCGGGCTCTACGTCAGGATTGTAGGCCAATGTGTGGAGGGAATATGTGTGTGGTTGTGGGTGTGGGTGTCCTTCCCTGGCCCAGGACAGGTGCTTTCATCATCTTTCCTGGATTTTCTAGCCAGCTGTCCTTTCAGATGCTGACCTGGGGGGCCTACAAGGGCTGTGGGGGAGGGGAGAGGATCCCCAGGGGCTGAGACAAGGCTCTGGGCTTCCCTCAAGCACGTCTGCCATCAGTTCCCCACTCCCCTCACCCCAGGGGAGCAACACTCCTGTGTTCAGTGAATCCCCATTCATGCCACACCTTTTCTTACCCCCTCCTTGAAAGGGACTTGATTCTCCTACATGTGTTGGTGATCTCTAGGAAGCTTTCTAGAAAGGTCAAGTGAACTCTCAAGTAAAATGAATTCTAACCTAAAGAAAGGAATAAAAGGTACCTTAACCAGTCTTAATCCCCTAGCTTCACCAAGCAAGATGCATTCCTTCTGCTAAAGCATTGCTTCATCAAGCTTCTTCTTGGCTAGTCATTTACACTTTAGTATGAGTTTCATGGTCATATCACTATCTCTGGAGCAGTCTCAGAGGGAAGTCAAATTTTGTTTGAGGGAAGAGGAAGCACGGATCATACTAATTCAGGACTTGAGGACTGCTGGCAGGGTAGAAACCTGGAGCTGCAGCAGCTAGGATGAAAACTCCCAGAGGAAGGAGTGGGGCTAGAAAGGTGAGGGAAAGCTGTCCAGAAATGAAAGACTAATTCTGCCCAAGTGTACCCTTAGTCCTGGTCACTCTTCAGGATCCTGGGGGCCCAACATGGGCTCCCAGTGATGATGATGTCCCGATTCCTCAGTCTCACCCTCCACCCCTCATATCACACCCTGCAGAAACCAGAAGGTCGGGAGCACCTACGGAGACTGCTGAACTGGGAAGAGTTTGACGAGCTCAGAGACTCCCGCAGAAGCATCCTGCTGGACACCCTCTATGAAAGCATCATCTTCGCTGCGGGCAAAGGCTTCCCATGGGGGGAGGTGGCCCAGGTGGTCAAGTTCACGGAAGAGCTGCTCAAGGAAACCAAAGGTACAGGGCAGGCAGGGCCAGAGTCAGTGAGGCCTGGGGAGGGCTCACAGCCCCAGGGGCCCTTCAGAGAGCCTGGAGCCACTTGCTTTCTTTCCCTGGGGTTTAGCCTCTTCATATGGCCCAAACAGGGCCCTGTCCAGACTTTCTGGAAAGTGGAACAAACAGCAGGTCCTTGCTGAGTCTTGTTCCTGATCACCCTGGTGGGAACTCTTGTACCACACCAAGCTATTCACAAAGCAACCAGGGGTGTTTGTTTTCTCAGCCAGTCATTCACACTTTAGTATAAACTACACGGGGGTTTCCCTGGAGGCTCAATGGTAAAGAATCCTCCTGCCAGTGCAAGAGACATGAGAGACACTGATTCCATCCTTGAGTTGGGAAGACCCCTGGAGAAGGAAGTTTCAAGCCAGTCCAGTATTCTTGCCTGAGAAATCCCATGGACAGAGGAGCCTGGTGGGCTACAGTCCATGGGGTTGCAAAGAGTCAGTTACAACTTAGCAAATAAACAACAACAATGAACTTCATCACTAAACCTATACCTCTGGGGCAGCTAGTTGAGAGTAGGGTCCAAGAGAAGTCAATTTTTGTTTTAGAAAAGAGAGAAGAAATAATAATAATTCAGAATTTTTATTTTGGTCCTGCTTAACTTAAATGTGTCACTGTTCTGCTTAAAATCCTTCACTGAATTTCCACTGTACTCCTGAGAGACTGCAAATTGTTCCCAGAGTCCGTTTTGGCTCTGCTGACTGTCTTGGAGGAATCATCTACAGATGTCAGCTTGCTGGCAGGGGTGGGGGAACCAGAGTCAGGTTATGGAAGAACAACTCTCCCACCACCACCCTGTGTTGGGCTGCAGGAGAAGAGGGTAAGCATCTCCAGCTGTGATCCACAGCACGAGGGGGTGTGGCCACATCTTCCCACTCCTTGTCTGAGATGCAGATTCACTCATTAAGCAGATACATGGAGCATCCCCTCCATGACCACCATTGTAGTAATACTCAACCAAGAATCATCAGTAGGTGCTAAAATCAGTGGCTGGCTGCTTGATGAGAAATGGGATGTTTACAGACTTCCTCAGAGTCTCCCCACAACGTCATTACTGATGGTAAAGGGGAAAAGAATACGTTTATGGTGAGGGAACCTGGTGGACACCTCCTTAATCAATGCTCCATCAGCAAGAGGACACAGATTATCGTGCCACCCAAGGGGATGCAAAAGAAACAGCCAGAATCCTTCTGTGATAGTTCTAGCAAAGTCTCAGAGCCTGACATCATAGGAAAAAACTTCCAATTAAGGGTAGTACACAAAGTCCCTCTCCTGTAAGCTTCAAAGCACAAAGGTCATGAGAACCCAGGAAAGACAGAGGAACTGCTCCAAACTGAAAGACACTGAGGCAAAGTGTCTGCTAAACATGACAGGTGGACCCAAATTGGGTCCTTTTGCTATAAAAGGAGACTCCACTGAGACAACTGGAGAATCTTGGGTCAGGTCTGGGTTTTGGACACTAGTGTCGTGTTGAGGGTGATCTCTGGACGCTGGTGGTTGTGATTGTGAATGTCCTTGTGTAGGAAATGCACACAAAAAGATCCTGGTTGATGGGGCATTAAGCGGATCACTTCTTCTTTAAGTAGTTCAGGAAATTTTTCTTTGTACTATTTTTTTCTAGCTTTATTGAGATATAATTGACATACAATATTGTATAAGTTTAATGTAAGCAACATGGTTTGATATATGTATATATTGTGAAATAATTAGCACAATAAGTTTAATGAACACCACCTCACCTGGTTTTTTTCTTGGGATGATAACTTTTAAGGTCTACTCTTTTGGCAACTTTAAAACACACAATATGATATTGTTAATTATAGTCATCACATTTTACATTATATCTTCAGGTCTTAATTATCTTATAACTGGAAGTTTGTACCTTTGGCCACCTTCACCTATTTCACCCATGCACCAACCCATGGCTTCTGGCAACCACCTATCTTTACTATTTCCATGATGAAGTTCAGGATATTTTTGATTCCACATGTAAGTGAAATCATACCGTATTTGTCTTTCTCCGACTTTTCTCACTTAACACATAATGACCTCAAAGTTCATCATGTTGTTACAAATGCTAAGATTTCCTTCTTTTATGGCTAAATAATATTCCTTTATGTATTTGTGTGCATGTATATGTATGTATGCATGTGTGTATACATACCCACATATATAGTGTATATTCACATTTTCTTTATCCACTTGTCTGTCATTTGATTCATGGGTTATTTCTGTATCTTGGCTATTGTGAATAATGCCACAGTGAATATGTTAGTGTTAGTCACTCAGTCATGTCCAACTCTTTGCTCCTCATGGACTGTAGCCCACCAGGTGATTCTGCAGAATTTCCCAGGCACGAATACTGGAGTGGGTAGTCATTCCCGTCTCCAGGGGATCTTCCTGATCCAGGAATTGAACCCAGATCTCCTGCATTACAGGCAGATTCTTTACCATCTGAGCCACCATGGAAGCCACGACAAACATGGGGGTCAGAGATCTCTTTGAGAGCGATTTCATTTCCTTTGAATATACACCCAGAAATGGGACCACTGTATCATGTGGCAGCTTTATTTGTAATTTGTTAAGAAATAGAATCAAGGGATTAGATCTGATAGACAGAGTGCCTGAAGAACTATGGACAGAGGTTCGTGACATTGTACAGGAGACAGGGATCAAGACCACCCCCAAGAAAAAGAAATGCAAGAAGGCAAAATGGCTGTCTGAGGAGGCCTTATAAATAGCTGTGAAAAGAAGAGAAGCGAAAAGCAAAGGAGAAAAGGAAAGATATTCCCATCTGAATGCAGAGTTTCAACGAATAGCCAGGGGAGATAAGAAAGCCTTCCTCAGTGATCAGTGCAAAGAAATAGAGGAAAACAATAGAATGGGAAAGACTAGAGATCTCTTCAAGAAAATTAGAGATACCCAGGGAACATTTCGTGCAAAGATGGGCACAATAAAGGACAGAAATGGTATGGACCTAACAGAAGCAGAAGATATTAAGAAGAGGTGACAAGAATACACAGAAGAACTGTACAAAAAAGATCTTCATGACCCAGATAATCATGATGGTGTGATCACTCACCTAGAGCCAGACAT